GAAAGACATCCCTTGTTCATGGATAGGAAGAATAAATATTGTGAAAATGGCCATTCTCCCAAAACTCTTATACAAATTCAATGCAATGCCAATAAAAACACCATCAACATACCTCATAGATCTAGAAAAATCATTCCTAAAATTCATCTGGAACCAGAGAAGACCTAGAATAGCAAAGGCAATTCTAGGCAACACAGGTAAGGCAGGAGGCATCACAATCCCTGACTTAAGTCATACTACAAAGCTACTGTAATAAAATCAACATGGTACTGGAAAAAAAACAGATATGAAGATCAATGGAATAGATTAGAAGACACAACCACAACTACAAACACACTCAACCACCTTACCTTTGATAAAGGATCCAAGCATGTTCACTGGAAGAACGATAGTCTCTTTAGTAAATGATGCTGGAAAAACTGGCTCTCCATATGCTGAAAACTAAAACTAGGCCCATGCCTATCACCATGTACTAAACTGAAATCTAAATGAAGCAAAGATCTAAATATTAAAAACAGAAACACTAAATCTGTTGGAAGACACATTAGGTAAATATCTTGAAGACAGGGTTAGGTAGAAAACTCATGAATAGGAATCAAACTGCACGGGAAATACTTCCCAGAAGTGAGATCATGACTTATTAAAGAGTTTCTGCATGTCTAAAGAAATCTCCAGCATAGTGAAAAGAAAACCCACAAACTGGGAAAAAACCTTAGTGAACTGTACTTGAGACACAGGACTTCTGTCTAGAACATATGAAGAATTAAAAAAAAATCAGACCCCAAAATTCAAAGACCCAATCCAAAAATGGACATCCAAAGTGAATTTCTCAGTTGAAGAAATACAAATGGGAAATAAATACATAAAAATTTTTCAGTATCATTAGTCATTAGAGAAATGCAAATTAAAACCACATCGAGATAACATCTCACTCCAGATAGAATGGCCAGGATCAAGAAAACTACCAACAACCAATGCTGGAAAGGCGTTGGGGAAAAAGAACTCTTCTGCACTGATGTTGGGAGTGTAGACTGGTGCAACCACTGTGCAGGTCAGTCTGGAGATTCCTCACAAAGCTGAGATTGGAAGTCCCATTTGACCAAGCTATTCCACCTCTAGGCATATTCCCAGAAGAACTGAAAATTTCATATCATAGTGATATATGTGCACCCATGTTTATAGCAGCACAATTTGTAATAGCCAGGTCTTGGAAACAACCTAAGTGTCCATCAACTGAGAAATGAAAAAAAAAAGTTGTGGTATTTTTATACAATGGAGTACTACTCAGCTATAAAGAAAGATCACATTGAGATATTTATAAATAAATGGATGCAACATGAGACCATACTTATAAGTGAAATAAATCAAATTCACATGTATAGTCTCCCTCCTGTAAGAAATGGTAAGTATATATAACATTTTATAGTATTCATTATTCCCCATTACATTGATTTGAAGCCTTATAATTTTTTCATTCATTCGTTGGAGTGCTTTTATTCTGTTTTGTTTGATTTTATTATGTGTGATGGTATGTGTGAGCAGCAATTTTGAAGAAAATCAGACATTATGGCAGCCATTGCTGATTTAACATCATCTTCCTTTGAAGTCCTACCATGCTTTTGTTCTTCTGTTTCCATTGGTTCTATCATGTTGTGTCTGATTGGATTTTAGTATGTGTGATAATATAAACAATTTTTATGGAAAATTAGATAACTTAGTAATAACTTGTTCATTTTCTGTTATTTGATTCTGAATGCCCTGTAATACTTTTATTCTCTTGAATGGTTTTATACTATTCTGTCATGTTTGATATTATTATATGTGAAGGTATGCTCAACCATTTCAAAGAAATAGACATTATGTTAGCTACTGTTAATAAGAGGTTGTCTTGCTGTGAAATGCTGTGTTGCTTACATTGTTCTGTTCTGATATGCTTTGTTCTGTGCTCTTTTGTCTTAATCTCTTTAAAATAAAATTTAAAAAATAAAAATAAAAAAAAATAAAATGTCACTGTAGTCTGTGGAATTGTTTTGCATCTGAGACCTAAAAATGATTAAAAATGTAGTATGTATTAAATTCTTTGTTTCTTTACCTATCTATAACTGACAAGGCATACTGTTTTGTACCTCCCCTTTGTCCTTTAGTCCCACAGGCATCTAATTATCTGCCCAACAATCTCTTATAACTTTCAAAGTTAGTGGTAATTGATGGAAGAAAAGCCTGAGTTTTATTCCTCCAATGGACTTACATCAAGTTTTAGACTCTGAATTTCTTTAATCTACCTAGTAATCATATGAACCTATGCATTACTGACCATGTTGTCATCCTGCTTCAGAATGTGACTCAGAAGAAAAATCATATTTCCATATTCCAGAGGGTTTGGGAAGAATGATAAAGCTAGGATTTGGATGTTGAAGACCTTTCAAAAGACGCCGTGTGATTTACAAGATGCTCCTGGGGTTTGGAGGAAATTTTTAGATTGTGAGGCCTTTTGGATTCCTTAGATTTTTAGAGGAATAGCCTCAAAAACTGTCCTGGACTATCCTATTACTTTTTAACTTCTGAGTGATAACTTCTCATTGATAAGATCAGTGGTTTGCTCTTTCATGTGCTCCTGTATCAATGTGATATTTTGCTAAAGGATCAACACAATAAGAATAATTTATCAAGGACTAGACTAAAATCTCCAAAATGATGACCCACAGCAAATCTTTTCACATTATAAGTTAATAGTGTTAGGTATCTTGTTACAGTGATGGAAAGCCAACTAACATGTAGGATAAAAATAATCATTCCTCTGAACATCCAAAGAATAACTTTCCTTGATGGTCAGTGTGCAATTGTGGAGAGGGAGATAATTTTTGTACAGGGATAGGAGAACCATATTCTGAGTATTTAACATAATAAAAGCTTGAGGAAAGAAAGAGGTAAATTTGTAGCTCCATTTTCCAGATTGTAACTTTAAGAGCAATTGAGAAAAACATTATGTCTTTCAATTAAGGCTGCTGCCTGTGGCTACAGAGCAAATGAAAGTTTGCTCTTTCTAAATGTCCTGTTGTAATTCTCTCTTGGATTTTAACAAAATGATATGGGAAACTTAAAGTCAGAATTAGTAGAATTGATGAGGAATGCGACTAATTTAGTAAGCCCTTGAATAGTAGACTGAGAAATATCATGCCTGGAGGGAAAGGCTAGCAACAGACCCATATATCTGTCAGTCGTGATAAGGAATAGTGGGTGCCCCTAGTGGAGGGTGTTTCTGAGTATTACCACTGAATAATATTCAACATAATCAAATTGTTATCAAATATATAGCATTATCCTCTGAGGAATTATGCCTATAAATATTAAAGATCAGTGTAGGGTAAAGTTATCCAAGATCTTATGTTTAGTTCTACAATGAGCAATATGTGTAAGTGAAATAAATAGTTTTTAAATAACAGATATCTGTTTAACCAAAATGTCATGTTCTAAGTAAGACTGAATCTCTAGCTTTGCCTCGCCTAGAAGCCATCATTTTTCATTGAAGGACAGTTCACTAGGAGGCATTTGGTCCTATTGTATGTCCTCCTGCAGAGGCAGGAGGTGACCCTACCATGTGATCATGAAAGAGAACTTCTATCTATGAGTTTTAAGGAAAGTGGCCCAATTACTACTACAGTGAACTAGAAGGAAGATATGAGGTTGTCTAAGTCTAGAAGACTTCATAATTCTTTTTTTTTTTTTTTTTTTTTTTTGGTCTTTTTCGTTTTTATCGGTACCAGGGATCGAACTCACAACTGCCTGCTTGCAAGGCAGGCGCTTATGCTGCTGAGCTAAATCCCCAGCCCCTTGAGCTAAATCCCCAGCCCCTCATAATTCTTGACCAAATCACATATTTATGAGGTAAACATCTCAATAGTGAGTTTTCTGTAAATGCCAAGTATGCTAAGGGTAATATAGCACAGGGGTGTTATAGGGTGTACAAGCACAGCTTCCAGAGTTCTCTAAGCACAACACGTACACTATTTTCTTTCTCATCAGACACTCCTATAAATCACTCAAAGGCCAAACCAGGTCTTTCTGCCTGGGCAAAGACAATGAAATGGTAAATCACAAGGCAGAAGGAACATAGAGGAAATGAGGATGTGGTGTAATATACTCACCTCTCCCTGCCTCTCTCCACCCCATAGAACAATCCTGTCTTTGACAAGGATCCCCATGAAGTGGTTGTCACAAACAGTGTTTCCAGCACCTACAAGCTCATGGAAATGAGTTAGGGGTGCAAGTTGACATAGTTAACTACTAAGAAAGAGTTAGGCTTATCACAAGCTGGGATGAGTGGTAAGTTTATAGGCATACATGGACTTGTATTTGGGAAAGCTCCCATGTGGAGGGAATCTAATGTATCTGTAAGAAGAGAATAAACTTAATATAAGCCATCACAGCCCTAGTTGCTATTCTCTGTGTAAATCTTATATAAAAATGAAGCAGATTGTACAAGGATAAATGAAAAATGAATTAAATCAGCACCATAATTAATGTTTTCTACATTTCACCATGCTTCCCCATTACTTCTCAATCTTCATGTAAATGATCCTTACCATCAAGTTCTTGTGAGCAGTGTGCCATCCTTTAACCTCTCTTCTTCATAGTCACTTTTAGCCCCTCCCTATTTACAATCCTCAAGTTGAAAATTCAACATGCTTGAAAGGCCCAAAGTCAACCTTCTGCCCTCCCAGGGATGTCGATCCTCAGAAACCCTAGGGAGATTTTTTCCTCCAAAGCCAGCTCTGCACCAAGGCCACTACCCACACCATTCCCTTTGAAATTCCTCCCCCAAAATCATTGATTTAAATGCCCCATGCTGACAACAGCTTCCACCCCTCCCACCTTGAGTGGGCAGCTCCTCCTGGATGCTCATCTATGCTTTAACTCAAAATGATAGAAACCAAGAGAACCACTGGAATTAGTTTAATCACTTTATTATTAACAAGTCTGATGGCAATAGAAAGGGCTCCCTCATCTGTGGCTGTTACGAGGTCAGGATGAGGCTGTTCATGAGGTGCCCCAGACTTGGAGATGCAGGCCTTATCACTTCTTCTTGTTTTGGGTCATCTCATCCAGCATAGACTTCCTGCTATCCCCAAAACGGAGACCAAGTTGCTGATTATTTTCTGCTGCCGTCTCCAAGTGCTGTGGGAGGATGTGTTTCTTGCGCTTGCCACGGGCCTCTTTGCGTGCCAGGTCCAAGATACTGGCTGTCAGGTATTCCAGAACTCCTTCCAGGAAAACGGGTGTGGAGAAGGGCAGGTGCGGAGCATAACTATTCTCTCTGAGGTATCGCTCCATGCGGCTAACAGGAAGCTGGAGTTCTGCTCTTCGAGAGCAGGACACTGGATGCTTCCTAAGCTGGGAGGATTTCTCATTGCTTTTCTTCCCATCCATGATGGTTACTGTGTTTCAAATCAGCTGCCCCAGCTTGATTTTTCTTGTGGCCTCAGCCCCTGAAAGTAATAGTGCTTATGGCCAGTCACTTGACTTGCTATGTTTTTTATAGGTCAGGAGTTGGCTTTGTGACAGCCTGGGCTTTGTGATGTCATTTGTGGCCACTGAGCTCAGGTCAAGCCTCTGGCCCATCATGTCTGTGATGTTAAGCTGTTTGCCCCTTGTAGCTGCGTACAGTTTTTGATTGAACTCTGAATTTCTACTAAAGTTTAACACTCTAGAAAAATTTCTATTTCAATGAAAGTATCACCTGGTGTTTAGTAAACGATTCAGGATCTCTGATCCTAACCTTGCACTGTGTTTGAGTTCTTTACATTTATGTGAGGAAAATCTGGCTAATGCTCAGATGGTGCAGAAGAATGTCCAAGATCACGTGGCCATCCAGTGGTTCACTGAAATCTGAAACTTAGGTTCTCTGGTTTTGTTGTGGAAGCCAAGTGGGCTGCCGTCGAGCAGCCCTGTGTGAAAGGACAACAGGCAGCCACAGAAGGTGGCATACAGGACCCAATAGACAGTGAACTCCACAAATGGAGACTCTCAGGGGCAATTCCTGAAATATTTGATGATAATTCTATGATATATTTCAAACTGCACAGGAGCACATTTATAGAAACTGCATTTACTTTGAGTTCATCATTTGGAACAAAATTAAACATGTTCCTATTAATCCTTTCAAAGGATGCATTCAGACACTAGTATTTCTTCTCTGTTCTTTCAAATATCTGGTTGATAAATGATGGTACACAAATATGAAATTGATAATTGTGTTTCAACTAAAATACAATTATAAATACAACTTCTCATGAGTAATTAGTAACCAATTACTGCTTGATTTGTCCATCTTGGGTCTGCTGATATGCTTTAAGATTGAACTTAGCACTGTTAACAACAGAAGATAGAAAATTACATTCATTATGTAATGCAAATGCTAATGTTTTAGAATTAGGCAATGTATAGATAAACAACAGAAGAAATTAATATGAGTATGATTCTTAGTTTGCAGTTTTATTTCTCATTTTCCCATCACAGGTCACTTTTATTGTGAATTCACCTGTCCCTTTCAAATCTTACCACCACTGTCTCACCTTTACTCTTTATTCACATCCATTGTCATTACATTTGACTTCAGACTTTCCCTATGATCAATGAAACCTTCTCCATCTAAAGGATGGTATTCAGCCCCTCCCCAGTTGCAAGCATCAAGCAGAGAATCCAACATGCTTCATACGCCCATTGTCAAACTTCTGCCCTCTCAGGGATATCCATCTTCGGAGCCCTTATTGAAGTCTTCTCCTCCCAAGCCAGCTCCCCACCAAGGCCACTACCCACACCATACCCTTTGAAATTCCTCCCCCAAAATCACTGATTCAAAGGCCAACAGATTCCACCCCTCCCGCTTTGAAAGAGAAGCTCCACGGGGATGCCTATCAATGCCTTTAACTCAAAATAATAGACATCAATTAGAACCACTGGCATTGAGACTTCATTAACAAGTCTGATGGCATTAGATAGGATTTTCGGTGTTTCAAGGGCAGAATGAGGCTTTTCACGAGGTGCCCCCAGACCTGGAGACACAGGCTTTATCACTTCTTGTCTTGAATCATCTCATCCAGCAGAGATTTCATTCTATCTCCAAAAAGGGGAAGAAGCTGTTGATGTTTCTCTACTGCCATCTCCAAGTGCTATGGGGCGATGCCTTTCTTGTGCCTGACACGGGCTTCTTCACCTGCGAGTTCCAGGACATTGGCGGTCAGGTATTCCAGAACTCCAGTGAGGAAAACAGGTGTGGAGGCTGACAGGCGATGAGCAAAATCGCCTTCTCTGAGGTAACGCTCCACCTGGCTAACAGAAAACTGTAGTTGTGCTCTTGTAGAGCGGGACACTGGTTACTTCCTAGGCTTGAAGGATTTTCGATTGCTTTTCTTCCCAGCCATGATGGTTGCTGTGTTTCAAATCAGCTGCCCCAGCTTGATTTTTCTTGTGGCTTCAGCCCCTGAAAGTAGCAGTGCTTATAGCCACTCACTTGACTTGCTATGTGTTTTATAGGTCAGGAGTTGGCTTTGTCACAACCTGGGCTTTGTGATGGCATTGTGGCCACTGAGCTCAGGTCAAGCCTCTGGCCCATCATGTCTGTGATACTAAACTGTTTGCCCCTAGTAGCTGCATACATTTTTTGATTGAACTCTAAATTTCTACTAAAGTTTAACACTCTAGAAAAATTTCTATTGCAGTGAAAGCATTACCTGGTGTTTAGTAAAGGATTCATGTTCTCTGATCCCAACCTTGCACTGTGTTTGAGTTCTTTACATTCCTTTGTGAGCCATTTTCACAGAAAGAAATGCAGACTCCTTTGTCTGGTAAGTAGAGTTACATTTGTCTTTCTGCTTATGTTGCAATAAAATCAGTTTTATTTCCACTTAAAGAGTTACTTAGATATTCAAGGTAAATATTTTTTTTTATTTTTTTCTTTGCATTGTCTTTTTAAATGCTTGTAACACTGATCAATTTTCTTTCATAAACTCTGTGTTCAATCTTTTTCAAGGAGCTCTACCTTGCTTGTAGATTTTAAAATCTAACAAAAACATTGCTCAGCAGAGACCTCTTTTTGGCTGACAGAACACAGTTTTAGGTTATTTACTTTTGAAGTTACGTGATCTCTGAATTATTTTACATCCCTCTGTAGTCACTAATAGACACACAACATCTAGTAGAGTTTTGGTTGCCCTCATGTCTTATAAGTAACCAAAGTTTTTCCTCCACTTGTATGCTCATCTCAGTGTTCCTATATTTAAATTTTTGTATTTATATTTTAATATCTCCTTTGAATGGGTTATATCTTCCAGTTTATTTAATACTTGTCATGTATTTATATATTAGTATTTAATACGTAACCATATCTACAAGAGTGTCATAATTTTATATATTTTGAAAATTATCTCCACATATATTTGAGGATGTACCCTGACACGTAAAATTAATTCACTTAACTGGTATATAAACTTCAATGATAGCAGTACTTCACAAGCATATTTAAATCCTTTACATGCTTTTTAAAATATGTTTTCATCTTTTCACCCATAGAACATTGTAGACTCTTTTTGCAAGTTTTGTTTTCCTATCTGCAACATTAGTGTTCCTGCTTTGTTTTATTTCTTTTACAGCTGATTAGTTCTTTTCCATTGCTGACTACAATAGTTGGGATTTTTAATTTTATTTTTCACTTAGAATAATGTTTTCATGATTTATGCACACCACAGTGTGTATCAGGACTTCATTATTTTGTGGCTATAAAATATTCCATTATAGGCATTATATCATGGTTTGCTTATCCATTGACAGTTGATGGACTTTTCTTTATTTCTCCTTTTTTGTTATTACAAGTAATACTGTCATAAGCATTCATGTGCAAGTTGCTGTGTGACTGTATGTCTTCAGTTTTATGCTTATGTAATAAAAAGTACAACTGCGTGGTTATATGCTTAGAATTTGTTTTATCATCCAGTCTTTGTGATATTTCTCTAAATAGTTGATCTTTGGTTAATATTTGTTCTCTACTGTTTGAGAAAATATACAGAATCTGTTTTTTCAGGTTTTTGCTTGTTTGTCTTTTTTGGATCAATATAAAAATAATTTTATGCTGTCTGGAAAGAGAGCAGTTATTAGATACCTTTATCAAAATGTTTTGCTGGTTTGTGTTTACTTTTAACTGATGGCTGAAATCTGTAAACTTGAGTGAAAAGCACTATGTCTCTGTACTGAAATATCTACTAGACTGTAATGTAGTCAACCTTCACTTCTGATTATGTAAGTGTGACAGCTAAGCTTGATTCTGTCTACTTGATTAGTGTGGAAACTTCCCATGGGATTGGTGGAACACAGTTCTGAATGGGTCAAGGTGTGATATGAGGCTAGATCTCATGGCATCTGGCCTATTACATTTTAATTATATGATATGTATTAATAAACATAGGCAAATTTTGTGCAGCAGATCTCTGTAATTTCTTTACTCTTCATAAATGAAACCAAATTATCTTATTTTGTCAAACTAAAAAAATTTATCTTGCAGACCAGAAAATTAGAAAAGGAATAAAAATCTCTTTTAAAACTTTACAAAATCTGATTCAGTTTTGATGAGCATATTCATGAGATTTTTTTGAAGGAACTTGCAATTCATCTAGAATCATAAACAAGTTAGATAACTACACTACTAATCTCTGTAAGTTCATAAAATTAACAGTTTATACTTTCATTGATTGATCATTTTTTCAGGCCTAAATCTTGTTATGTGAACAACTACTTCTAAGATAACAATATGCAATATACTGACTAGTGCTAATTTCCCACTATTTTTTTTGAAATTCTATATCTATCTTATTTTGCTTGCTTTTAAAATAAAAATACTTAAAATGTATACAAAATTATAGTGAGACAAACCTATAAATTAGTTTTCTGTGTGAAAATCACAAAGACACTTGAATTTTTCCTCTGCCTTTAATAGAAGTTTTTTGTAAAAGTTCACTCTTCACCTGTAAGCAGTAATCTACTCACATAGAAGACATTCCATATCTCACCACAGTGATGTCGTACACTTTTTCAATTTATCTTGTCATTATTCTCTTTAAAATAAAAAAAATCTACATTTCTGTAAATCCTAGGGATTTGTGTTTATTTAATCTCTTTATTAAATATTATATTGCCATCTCTCTTCATTGATATGTAGCCTCACTACAGTTGTCCATGTTCACCCATGTGGCTATTGGTGAACCCTCCAGGCAGGCTTCTTTTTCCATCTTTGATATTTCTGTTGAATCTGGCTTTCAGTGGGACACTGCCCCCAACTTTGCAATTCCTGAGTGAATTTTTCCTAGGCTTACTAACCTTATACTTATGCTCCTAGTGCCCTGTCTTCACTTAAGCTGGCTGTAGCTTTTGCATTTGTGTTTATTGCATGCTTCCTTCTGCACTTTCCTCAATGCTGTGTACTAGACTGGAAGCAATCA